TTTGGAAGATCTGATAGGAATGTAGTAAAAAAGGCCTAGCATAAAACACTCCCAACATACAAGCATGACAAGCATTGAATCACTTTAGTAATGAACCCTAATTAAGTATCAAACAAGACGAGATGGAAGCCTTAGTTACTCAGCAGAATTTAATGCATGAAATGAACCAACAACATACAACCATGCAATAAGCATTAGGAGTGTGAAAGAGTATCAATTCGAGTTTTAATCTCCAAAGTCTTCTTTGTAACTCTCTGAGGAAGAAAAATGTGTTCATAGATTAGAGTTCATAGATACTATTATTGTTGTGTCCTCTCTTTTATTTACTCCTTGTTTCTTATTCTTTGGTTATTTGTAGTGTTTGTTTTTGTGACATTCATGAATATTGTTTGTTTGCGTGATCTTGAATTAAAATCCACAGCAAACCTATTGGAAACGATTTTAAAATTAGGAAGAATGTTTCCTAACACTTGGATAGGAAAAATATAATGTGCATAGAAGGACAACAAAAGCAGCAAATTATAGAGAAATAACAGTGTAGAAGAAACATAGGTAGTAAGAAGTTACAAAAATGAGTTAAAATCCACAACAAACCTAATTAAAAAGATTTTCAAAATTCATTCTTTGTATTTCATAACACTTGGATAGGAGAAACATAATATCCATAAAAGGAGAACGAGAGGGGCTAATTATAGAGAAATCATGGAGTGAAAGAAGAAACACAAGCAGTAAGCAGTTTATGAAAAAATGTGGCAAACAATGGATGAAACCTTAAAGCAAAGGGTCAAGATTGGGAACCATGACAATAGATTTAACATATGACACAATCACCAAAATGTAGTACAAAGTCTACATAACAGAATGAAACCATAACTTCAGTTCGCTTCCTTAACAAAAAACTAGTGATTTTCAGTTAACTTCAAAAATGATTTCCAATAAATAGAACATAGAAGTTTCAGAACACTTGGAAGGGATAAACATCCGTAAACAATATCTTTGCGACCATAAAAACAACAAAGTCCATAAACAATTGCATTAAGGGCAAAATTTTTATTGTTTTTCACTTTTCAATAATTGAATGGAACCATAATAATAAAATCTGGTTCTTAACATGCTTCTTGCCTTTTACCCTCAAGTCACACCTAAGAGTCATATCCATTTGTCCTAATGTCCAACTCAAACTAAACTGGCTCAATACAACAATACATAAACAACATTTTCCAAATCAAAACTGTCGCAAATTAAAGAAAAGCCTTTACTTTTTAAGAAGATACAACATAGCAAAGCTAATTCGCAATACCATGAATGGTATTTAACCAAAGATCATTGATGCAAGTATCTATTCAAATTTTAAAAGATGAAAAACCCCAACACATGCCCACACTTATCTTGTCACTATCAACCACTAAAGTGTTCAGTTCCCTTAACATCAAGCTTGCAAATAGAGGAAACAATGGCTTACGGAGCTTTGCTCCTACCATCTTTACCTGAATCTATAACGGTCCAAAATGGCTTCTGGATACCAAAATCTGAATTAGCACACCAAAAAGTAAATAAATTAATAATCACACATAATCTAGAGTGCATCTGTGCAATTTTTGTATAGACTAGGTATGTTCCAAGGAAAACAATCCTGGTCGAAGAGGATAAAACAACTATAGTTAGTAAAATTCTCCGAGTATTTCGAGCAACAGCATATCCGAGACTCGTCAAGTTAAAAAAACCTCAAGCCTGTTTTAGCATAGTACTCTGTGGTACTGATTGCCTCTGCCTTTGAGTTTCCATTGTGTAATAGCATCTTAAGTTAGGGCAAATTTCGTGCTCAATTTAGAATTTTCATTATTAATGAATTCTTGAGATTTAAAAAAGAAAAAAAAAGAACCACCCTTACTTGGTAACAACGCCCAGTCTTGAGCAAAAATACGCGGCAAGCAAATGACAACAACCCAGAAATGAATTAACATCCAATTTCAAGCCGAAACAGCAGAGAAATTATAACAAAACGAAACAAAAACAAAGCGAAATAAATAAATAAATAAAAAAGAGAGAGAGAGAGAGAGATAAAAAGGAAAAAAAGCTCACATGAAAGAACTCGAGCTGGTCTTCGAGGTTCTCGAGTGCGGTCCGTATAGCGTTGAGACTCTTGGCTTCACGAACGGCGGAGTCGTCGTCGGCGGCGGAGTCCTTAACGAAGACGAAACCCGAGGTGTCAGCAGCGGGGTTAGCGGTGGAATTGGGAAGCGGCGAAGAGTTTTTGAGGGTTTTGAGGGAAGTGAGAAAGTGGGATCTGGAAACCAAGTGAATTGCGTCGCTGAGCTTGTCGTGAAGGTCCCAAATTTTTTCGAGAATGGCTTCGATTTCTTCCATCTGCATATCCCATTTCATTTTATTTCGATTTCAAGGAGATGGAGGAGTGAAGACAGAAGCAACACGGACAATGACACCAACAATGACCAATTTGAACAGCCAAAGCCCACTTTTTTAATAACTGCTGATATCATTACCACCGTTTCTATGTGCCTCCACTGTTACGGAAGGAATTTTATTTTATGGCCCCACGTAACTTACAAGGCTGGCATGGTTGTTACTCTTTCTGAAAAAAGATTTAAACGAGATCCTCTTTGGTTCAAACTGAAGTACGTACCAGAAGCTAAGAAATTTATTTTTAGCAAACACTTTTTGAATTTTCTTTCTCCAAATATCATTTCTTAAATATATTACCACAGTAAATTCAAACCAAATCTATATTAAAGAAAAAAAAAAGATGAACACTATTTAAAGGCAGAATTGATAATCAAGAGCTGAATTTTCGCTTTTTACTCAATAACCAAATTGTAGCTATTTTTTTCTTTTTCTTCAACTTTTTAGGAATTAATGAAAATAAAAATAAATAAGAAAAACAAATACTTTTATATCTATTTTTCGCTTTCTAAATAACAGATTAACTAATAAAATGGAGAATTTTAATAATTTTAATATAAAATTATTATTAATGATGATGATATGGTATAAAAAAATATAGAGAAATGAATCATATTACATTATAATTATTTATGATAATAAAATTAAATAAAAAAAAATTCAAAATATTTAAAAAATTATTGGAAAGAATAAAATTCTTCTAAATTTAAAGTAATAGTTTGAAACATTATTAATTACAGTTTAACTATTAATCACTTAATTAAAAATGAAATTACATTAATAATTATATTTTTACTATATTGAAAATGTTTTAATTAGTGAATTGTGTATTCTTGTTATGCACAGATAATAAGAAGGTTTATAAGCAAAATAGTACTTTACCGTGGTTTATAGCCGTTAATTTATATTGTTTGTTTATAGATATTCTGTCATGCGTCTTGTCAGTAATTAATGTGTTGTTCAAGTATATCACTCAAGAAAGGTTAGACGATGTACAATGTTTTTGACAGTAGATGACATAAGAATTAGACTCTTATGAAAGTTGCTTTAGATGTATATTTTAGCGCGTTTTTTATTAAACGATGTTCTTTATGAAATATTTTCACTTTTAACATTCCTTTTTGTTGTAAGATGTTTAAGTTTTAGTGTAGTTATGATTCTTAATAAAAATATTTCAATTTGAGACCTTGAGAACATATTCTACTATTTTGTGCATATTCAAAGAAATAATGTGCTAGACGATATAGATTTCATAGAAACATTATTGTGTATGTTCTTACTTTGAGAAGACTTTGTATTGACATTTTGACGATTTGCATAGCTTCCTATATAAAGTCTTAGGTTTTCATTTGACTTGATTAAGTGCTTAGATGTTATAAGTTAAGTAGACACTTCTCTTCCTGAAAGGATATTTTCGTTTAATGCTTATTGTTAAACTTTGAATCTTTGGGTTGCTAGATGGTCTAGTCTCTCTAGATAATCTTGAATTAACAATTTGGAGTGTTCATAATCCTCCAATCCCACACATATAAACCTATAGAAACTTAGGATCACTTCATATTACCTTCATACATCACACATGTAAGGTATTTCCTAGGAATAATCATAACTCTCAAGCTTCCAAATAGTACTTCTCAAGCTCTTCAAATAAAGTTTCCTTTACCTTTGATCGATTGGCCCCGACCGACGATCCACCAAGTCGGGCTTGGCCGAAGGTTGATTTACTCAGCCTCAACCGAAGGTCAAGCAGAGTTAAGTTTGTTAGAAGGTCAAGTCGAGTTGTTCCCAACTAAAGATCGTCTAGAGCCGACAATAACCTAATGTCAACCTTGTAGGCCTAATTGAAGTTCGACTCAGTCTGTTGACTAAAGATTGTGGAGTTAGCACATTTGAAGTTAAACGAAATCAACCTCGACCATCGTTGGCCAAAGGTCCCTTAAGTTAATCCTTGACAAAGGTCGACCAAAATCGGCGTCGATTAAAGGTTGGCTTGAATGGCCTTGGTCGTAGGTAAGCTTAAGTTAGGCTTGATCGAAGGTTGGGTTGGAGTCAACTTCAACCAAAGGTTAAGTCAAGTCAGCCTCTACTAAAGGTTGACTCGAGTTAGCCTGTCGGATGGTCAAGCCAAGTCAGTCATTGTCAAAGGTCGAGCCGAGTCATCCCCAACCAAAGGTCGACCCTAGTCAACCACAACCAAAGTTTGACCCTAGTAGGTCAAGGTTGAAGGTCAATTGAGATGGTTTAGATGAAGGTCGACCGGATCGATCATTGTAAGTCGACCAATCAATTGTGTCATGCCTGGAAAAAGTTTGGTGAGTAGGCCCATTTGAAGGGCGACTGAGTCCGCCTTGACCAATGGTTGGTTGATGGTTACTTGAATTGTTCCCTATTGAGAGTAAGCCTGACTTAGCCCTAACTGGAGGTTAGGCCGAGTTGGCCCTAGTCACCCTTAATCGAAGGTCGACCCAAGTTGGCCTTGATTGAAGGTCGACCCGATTTGGGCTCGATCGAAGGTTGTGTCGAATTGACCTCTATTGAAGATTGAGCGAAGTTGATCCTAATTGAAGGTCAAATTGAGTTGGCCCTAAATGAAGGTCGAGTTGAGTCTGTTCTAGTTGAAGGTCAAGCCAAGTTGTCACTAACAAAAGGTCAAGCTTAGTCGATCCTAATTGAAGGTCACACCAAAGGTTTACCTAGTTAGGCGATCAAAAGTCAATTGAGTTAACCTAGTCGAAGGTCAATCAAATAACTCTGCTAAACTTTTATCAAGTTCACCTTAAACAAAGGTCATCCAAGTCAATTCTTATTGAAGATCGGCCTAAAGTAGTTCCAATCAAAAGTCACCCTAAGTTCGTCCAAGCCAAAAGCTAACATAAGTCGAGTCAACCTAATCTATATATATTAGGTCCAATAGTTAAATATATTAAATCAATCTCACTTTATTTAATTTATAATTGCCAAAATGAAGTCAATATCTAAATTAATACAATTTAAGTTTGATTGAAAAAAATTGAGATCTAATTAATTAATTAAGATGAATTAGAATATAAATTTAATCCATTTTATTAAATTTAGATTTAAATCTTAGCTCCACGAGTTAGAAACCAAAATCATCATGCAATATGTAATTACTCTTATTTACTTTAAGTTAACCATTAGACTCGGTTCTAAAAAGTACACCCAAACTTGAGTCCATCTAATTCATTCCACGGATAATATTTTATACTCTTATAAAAACTATTCTAAATTTATTTTAATCAAAATTAATAATAAATTAATTTACGCCTATTGAAATGAACCAATCTTTATTATAAGTATTGCTTCGTAGTCCCTAAAATGATTGTTTAATTCAGTTTTATAAGCCTTTAAATTAACACTTAAAATATTTTCTCTAAATAATATGTTTCCGTCCATAAAAATATCTTTTTATTCTTATTTAGGTATGTACAAGAATAAATAATGACACATTATATGGTCCGATTGTAAAGTATGTTAATTAAATTTATTTAGGTTTAATTGCTTCCTTTGTCCCCAGTTTGGTTGAATTGTGTCAAATTCATCCTCATTTTTAAAAAAGTTTCATTGTCGTCCTCACGTGGTATAAAAGTGTCAATTGAATCCAAACATAGAAAAAATTTGTGTCAAAGTAGTCATTTTTCCTATATCTCTGTGTCTTCCTTTCATATGTCACTTCTCTGGAGCTATGAAAAGCCTTAAATTGGATAAGGTAAAATGAATATCTGTACTTGATTGTATGAAAGGAAGACACAGATATATAGGAAAAATGACTACTTTGACACAAATTTTTTCTATGTTTGGATTCAATTGACACTTTTACACCACGTGAGGACGACAATGAAACTTTTACACCACGTGAGGATGACAATGAAACTTTTTAAAAAATGAGGATGAATTTGACACAATTCAACCAAACTGGGGACAAAGGAAGCAATTAAACCATTTATTTATTTTGAAATCACTTTTACCAACATAATTTAACAGGATCTAAAATTTAATTATTTTAATTTGAAATTACTCCATTTCGTAAATTATTTTAATTAATATTTCTATTCTTTATTTGATATAAAAAGACCCTAAAATTGGAGAGAATGATACCTATAACATATTTGCAGGAAGTTAAAGTCTATTTTTTAAGCATTTTATTTATAATAAATGTTATAAGGGAGAATTTATTTTTATAACAGTTCATAATAACTATTTTGATGTACATCAATTCTTCCAATTTTATTTTATTTGATCTCTAAGTTCTATAAATATTTTTTTTAAAATTCAATTACTTCCAATAAAACATTTCAAATTTTATTATTTTATGCTTTTATAACTTTTTTTTAAAATTTAATTAACTATTTTCAATAAAAAAAAATTAGATATGATAAAATTATATATTTTATAGCTATTTTTCATAAATATATTTTTATGAATTATAATAAAATTCTCTCGTTTATGTTTTACCACGAGAAAAAAAAAAATACACACATTTAACATGTTTTTTTGAAGTGACCATTTATGAAGAAGTCTTTCTCCAAGTATAACTCTTTTTATGCGTTCAAACACGAGAAATTGCTGACTTTAAAGTTTTTAAATTTCTAAATGTGTAAAAATATATGAAATATCATTGACAGTTTTTCGGAAAGATTGAGCAACAAGTAACCCCAATATTCTTTTCTCCGCTCTCCGCGTCTCAGCACGGAAACCTTACGGTTTGGATCATCATCGATAAGGAGTCTTTCTCCTTCAATTCGGAGTATGTTTCTGTCACACCTAATTCTTTTGCTTTCTTTGGGTTCATTTCGTTTCCCTTTTTGTTTCCGCTCGTAATAATCCAACCAACTTTTGCCATCACATGCCATACTTCTAACAATCGCTATACCCAAATATTACATTCATAATTCAAATGGTTTTAGTTTCCTCTCGAACAAATGTGTGACCGCGACTCAGAAATG